AGTAATTTAATTTTAGGAATTATCTTAAGCTTTTTCATTTGAGAAAGGTATGCTTGTTATATTTCCCTTGCAACTTTGATTATTTTTGGAAGTTGAATTTTAGAAGCTATTTGAGCTGTTTAAAAATTAAATGTTTATAATCAATGATAATATTTATTGGTGTATTACTCAACCTCTTAATTTCATTTGCTTACCTGTGAAGGGGGGAACTTTAAAGAAAGTATTGATATTTTTAAGGTTAAACACAATCATTTAGTAATGCCCATTGTTTTTCTCTTTCCTCAAAGCATGCTAATTTAGTATTATATCATTTATCTGTGAGGAATCCAGTTACATAAATATTTTCTCATAATAATGGTCTGACTTCATTATTTTCTGTCTGTCTCTCTGTCTTTCCATCTTTCCTTCCTTCTTTTCCCTTCCTTCCTTTTTTTCTTTGTTTCTTGTTTTTGGTGTTTTTTGAGACAGGGTTTCTCTATGTAGCCCTGACTATCCTGGAACTCACTGTGTAGTCCAGGCTGGCATCAAACGAGATCCACCTGCCTCTCCCTACCAAGTGCTAGGATTAAAAGCATACTCCAACAACACCACCCAGTAATTTTTTTTTAAATCATATTATGGGCCTTGCCTTAAAGTATTTATTATAGCTTGTGTTGTATCTTTTTTTTTTTTTTTTTTTTTTTTGGTTTTTCGAGACAGGGTTTCTCTGTGTAGCTTTGCGCCTTTCCTGGAACTCACTTGGTAGCCCAGGCTGGCCTCGAACTCACAGAGATCCGCCTGCCTCTGCCTCCCAAGTGCTGGGATTAAAGGCGTGTGCCACCACCGCTCGGTTTAGTTTGTGTTGTATCTTGACGTTTATGTGTGTAGCAAGTTGTCTTTGTCAGTTAAATACTCTGTGACTGAGTTACTGATACTGAGAAATCTTAAGACTATCTTCAGCTCTAGAGTTTAAAAAGTACTACAGCACATAAAGTTCTTCAAGGTTACACTAACATGTTTTTGGCTTAATCCTTTTCAGAAGAAAGCAGAGTATTGCTTAAAATCATCAGAGTGTTTATTGTGTTTTTGAAATGGTTTTTAACAGTGAAACATTTTTTGATTCTGTAATGTGTTACATTTACATGTAGCTTGCTTTTGGTTTTGGTAATATAAAATTTATGATGGTACTTTATAAGAAATTAACTATAAAGGATGCATTACTTTTATAAACATCTTAACATGTTTTTCACTTACAAAAATTGAGTTTGACCAAACCAAATTGGTTTTATCTTACAACACTTTCAAAGTGTTATTCATGGAAAATATATGCAATTATTTTAACTTTTTGTGAAATACTACCCAGTAGTTATACAGGAACTAAGAAAGATATGTTGGAGATTACTTAAAATTGAAAAATATTCATAATCTCATTTGCGGTGGTTTTTTGTTTGTTTGTTTTTGTTGTTGTTTTGTTTTTTGTTTTTCGAGACAGTTTCTCTGTAGCTTTGGAGCCTGTCCTGGAACTCACTCTGTAGCTCAGGCTGCTGGCCTCAAACTCACAGAGATCCGTCTGCCTCTGCCTCCCGAGCGCTGGGATTAAAGGCGTGCACCACCTCCTCCCGGCAAAGATGTATTTATTTATGTACGAGTGCTTTTTCTGCACATACACCTTTATGCCAGAAGAGGGTGCTACATCTCATTACAGATGGTTGTGAGTGAACATGTGAGGGCTGGGAATTGAACCCAGGTCCTTTAGAAGAACAGCCAGTGCTCTTAACCGCTGAGCCATCTCTGTAGCCACTCATTTGCGGTGTTTTAAAGACTGGTTTTTGTTAGCCAGATCTCATGTTGAGTATTTATCAATTCTAGTAAGGTACGAAACTTGTTCTAGTCTTAAACCTCAAAGAATGCACTGCTGTTTTAGTATCTGACACAATTCTGGACACATCTAATTTATGTCTATCTGTTCAGGATAAGCTGGGCGGAAAGAAAGTAACATGGGGAGAGCATGTGTTAAAATGGACTGCATAACTTACCTCCTCTACAGGAACGTTACTGTTCCCAGTTAGTGCTGTTAGCAGGTGCTGACAGTGGAAAGATGCTCACTGTGTTTTCCATGTGTTTCACAGGTGTGTTCAAAGCAACATTGTCTTGTTAACACAAGCATTCAGAAGAAAGTTTGTCATTCCTGACTTTATGTCTTTTACCTCACACATTGATGAGTTATATGAAAGCGCTAAAAAGCAGTCTGGAGGAAAGGTAAGGTTTGGATTCACGTATTTTTCCTAATATAAACATTTACTATAAAGAGAATAAACCAGCCGGGCGGTGGTGGCGCACGCCTTTAATCCCAGCACTTGGGAGGCAGAGCCAGGCGGATCTCTGTGAGTTCGAGGCCAGCCTGGTCTACCAAGTGAGCTCCAGGAAAGGCGCAAAGCTACACAGAGAAACCCTGTCTCGAAAAACCAAAAAAAAAAAAAAAAAAAAAAAAGAGAGAATAAACCTGGGTGCTTTGTTTACAAATTAAACAACTCGGTGGGTCATGCCATTAGATTTGGTGCTTTTTAAACTATTTTAAGTACTTAATTCTTTTTGTTATTCTGCCTAGACTGAAACCTAGTTTAAAAAAAAAATTTGGAAATTAACTGAAGTGGCTTTACATTTTTTAATTAATAAAAGTTACTTTTGACATTTCTGCAGATCTGATATCCATTAATATAAAATAAAATATTTCTAGTTTTTAAAAATTATCCAGATATATTCAAACATGGTGGTGCCTTCCTGTATTCCCAGCATGTAGGAGGTAGAGAAAGGAGGATCAGAAATTCAGAGGAAGCCTCTTCTGTCTAAGCAGGTTTGAGCCCAGCCTATCAGCCTGTGCTGCAGAAGAACCTGTGACACCTTCACCCCAACAAATAGGGCACTTCCTAGTCCTCCCAACCAAGTACCCAGAGTGGTAGCTGAGACTGTATATTATCTCAATGGTATAAGGTTGTAAGCTTTTTATTTATTTTTTTTTCCTTTAAAAAAAGTCTTTAAGTTCTTGTTTTAAAGTCTCTGCATTTTCAGAAAGAAAGATTGCATTGAAAATTAGCGAGTGGTAGAAAAATCACCTAATGCCATGCTGATGCTCAGGTTTATGTATTAGTGTTCTTGGTTTTTACAAGTATCATTAAAAGACAGACTGATGCTCCTGAGTACTGTAAACAACTAGTCATCGGTGAGAGAAAACACCCTGCCTATCTTGTATCTCTTAATGTCTTTCCACTATTTTGGATAGGTTGCTGATTATATTCCTCAACTGGCCAAATTCAGTCCTGATTTGTGGGGTGTATCTGTCTGTACGGTAGATGGGCAAAGGTAAGTTTATTTAAAAGTCTATGGAGAACAACTTTAACCCTTAAATCACAGTCTTCCAGAAATACATAAAAACCAGATTTGAGAAGTGCTTGTATTTTAAGCAAGCTGCTGACAAATGAGGATCCTTGCAGAATTATTGGAAGGTGTTATGTTGGGGAGAACTATAAAGAGTGATTTGATTTTAAACATCTAGATTAAGAGAGACCTTTGGAAAAGTGCTAACCTGTGGGAATGTTTTTTCAAGAACTGTTTTTGGCAGGGAGGGGGCTTGAGAGATGATGGCCTGGTGGATAAAGTATTTGGTATGCAAGTGGGAAGGCTGGAGTTGGTCTCTGGCACAAAATCTTAGGCAAATGCAGTGGCTTCTGGTAATCTCAGCAGTTGGAAGGGAGGCAGAGAGATCCTCGATGCAAATGGGCTAACAAAACTAGGGAATAGGCAAGCTCCATGTCCAGGGGAGACTGCTTTGGAAACCCGGAGAGGATGCAGGGCTTGATGGCAGACTGCTGCCCTCACATTGCACACACGTCCACCTACTCTATGCAGATGCACACACAACTCTAGGCAAAAAACATTAAGGGTCATTGCCAAGTTCTAATTTGGATGTCAGAACAATTATGGCATACATCTCGGTGTTTTTCCCACTAAAAAACTTAGCTTAGAAATATAATCCTTCCTTAAAATTACTTTTTAAAATGAAAATACAACTTAACAAAAATGTGTACAGCTTGTAAGTATTGTTCATATAGCTTTTTTATATGAGTGATAAAATTTTACTCTTTTTTTGTTTGTTTTTATTTTTTACTTTCAGTTTTAGCCACAGTTTCTTTAGCTGGGCCGGCCTAGAACTTACTGTGTACCCTAGGCTGTCCTCAGGCTTTGAATCGTCATGCCTCTGCTTCTGATTTGACTGTAGGCATGATCCTGGCATGCCTGGCAATGCCCTAAAGTTTAAGGCTACAAGTCAGGTAACCGTAGAGTATTTAGGTTTTTCTTTTTAAGGTAAAGTTGAAAACTTCATTTATTTGTGATCTTAGTTATCTAATCTGAAATATCCTTAAGTTATGATAAAAAGCAGAAGTTTTTTATTATAATTATACATGTTAATTTTTCTAAGGCATAATTTTTAAAGGCCTAGTTTACTCTGAATACAGGTAGTAGTAAGAAAAACATTACTGATTTAACATCTGATAAAACTTACTTTGTTCGTTCGAGGCCAGCCTGGGCTACCAAGTGAGCTCCAGGAAAGGCGCAAAGCTACACAGAGAAACCCTGTCTCGAAAAACCAAAAAAAAAAAAAAAAAAAAACTTACTTTGTTCTCTCTGTGAGTTCGAGCCTGGTCTACAGAGTGAGTTCCAGGACAGGCACCAAAACTACACAGAGAAACCCAGTCTCAAAACCTCCCATTGTTCCCTCTCAAATTTCTAGCCTCTTCTTCCTAAATTGGTGATGTTGCCTATTTTTACATAATACGTAAACAAAATCTGCTTAGATTAAAAAACATAAACAAAAGAAACAAACTTACTTTGTTAACTGCTTTAAGCTTTTGCTATTTATATTTACTTTGCAATATCCCTCTTAGACGTACTCTTTTTAATGTTCATATTCACGCACTCGCACATGCACACATGCTTGTGGAGGTCACAGGATAAGCTGCAGGAGTCTGTTCTCTATTGTGTGGGTCCCAGTGATTAAACTCTGGTTGTCAGGCCTGGTGGTGAGCACCTTTAATACAGCGTCATCCAGCCAACTCTTAAACATCTTTAATGTTGAAGTCAACATTCATTGTTGAATTAAAAGTAATTATGAATTAGAATTTGTAATGTAAAAAGCAAGTCCAGTCATGCAACTTTCTAGTTGATGCTAATTTTTTTCAATCTACTTTCATAGGCATTCTATTGGAGATACCAAAGTTCCCTTCTGTCTTCAGTCCTGTGTAAAACCCCTGAAATATGCCATTGCTGTGAATGATTTGGGAACTGAGTATGTGCATCGCTATGTTGGGAAAGAGCCAAGTGGATTGAGATTCAACAAACTGTTTTTGAATGAAGATGGTAAGGAGTACCTACAAGTTGGTTGGAGAAATAGTTCATTTTTCTGTTTAAATCTCAGTAATTTGAATTCTGCTTTTGAAGAAACCTTTTCCTATTTTTAAAAGTTTGCCATAGAGTTTCACGTACTTTTCAAAATGGTTATTTTAGGTTATCTTGCACCATTAGCAAGAAAAGTAGAGAGGTAAAGGCAAGGAATACATTCCATGACTGGGCACAGTGCACGCTTGTAATCCTGGCAAATAAGAGATGGGGTGAGGTGGACCAGGACCTTAAGGACATTCTCAGCTTCATAACAGATTTGAGGGCAACCTTGGCTACGTGAGACCCTGTCCATTAATAAATAAGTTACATTATAGTCGCTTATCAGAGATTCTGCTAACATTTGAAAACACCTAGAATTTACTTCAGAACAGTCAGTGGGAGCAGCTCTTAGTTCTGGAGTAATCATAATTATTATCATTGTGTTGCTAATTATTTCAGTTAAGAGCCTGTTTGCAGAGGTGAAGCAGCTAGACCCAGTTTCCTTACCAGTTTCATTGCTAGAGCTCTGGCCCTCATTTGTCCATGAAATGTGTGAACCACTGTTAAATAAATGTCATGTACTCTAAAAGGACACGCAGGAATGAAATGGCAGACTTGATCTCCTGGAGCAAGTTCCAGTAGAGAGTAGTGTTTCTCTTTTTCCATATTCACATAATTTATGTGTGTTCATATATTACTTTCATACTTGAGGAAAGCTCTAGACTGGGCTGGGGCTAAAAATTTGAGGCCATATTGTGTTCCTATACTGTGGTTTTAGCGGTAGATAGTTAGATAGATTTGCTTCTGTGTGACTTGGTCTTTCTCCTTCATAACATTTGCTGTTTGGATGAAATACATCAGATAATTGGGTTGCTTAACAAGTCTCTTTCCTGGAGTCCCACCCTTCAGACAGGAAGGAAGACAAAGTAGACAGTGCTTCAGACTCAGGTGTAGGTCTGAGCCGCATGTAGATGGACCTCGATCCTGTAGGTTGCCGTCTGTGTTGATCCTGCAGGTATGTGAAGGTTACTAATTATTGGATGATTTAAGGTGTAGAATTGAAAGAAGCAAGTGAAGTTGGGAGAAATTGTAAAAGGTAAACTTAAGTTTTCTTTCTGCCAAATTAAAAAACAATGAAATGTCTCACTCATTAGTATTTTATTAGTTTTTCAAATAGAGTCATAACTGCTATCGTCTATGTTTTTCTTTCTGGGTTTTAGAGCAGCTACATTTTTTTCTGTATTTTACCATAATCTTTGTGCTTTTTTTTAACCATAATTTTATGCTAATGTACATTATCAGATATTGGCAGCTTCATTGAGGATATCATTCTGAAATCTTGATTAGGCCTATTGAAATCCAGGTTTAATGAAAGAATTCATTCTATTACTTGTGGAAGATAAGACATTGTATAATATCCTCAGTACTTTCCTTTGGAAGGCAATGGGGAGTAATCTCAGTCATTCTGGCAGATACATTGATTTGGAGGAAGATATTTAAAGATCTAAAAACAGATGTAGGAATTTGAATGTTAGAAATCTTTTTGAGAGGCTGAGGGATTAAGAGCTCTGGCTTTTCTTTGAGAGAACAAGGTTTGTTTCCTAGCACCACACAGTAGATTAACAACTAACTGTGCAGCTTCGTTCCAGGGGATCTGATGGCCTCCTGGCTGCCTCCACCACCAGGCACACACATTGTGCAGAGACATACATGCATCCAGGGAAAACACCCATGCATGTAAAGTAAAATATCTTAGGAAAATTTGAAAATCCTCTTGGGGAGTAAAAGGATTGGGGAAAATGAATTTAACATTATTAATAAAATTTTTGACAGGTTCATGAATGGTTTTAAAATGATTTTATTGGTGGTATGGTCTCTAAAAACAATTGTGATGAGAGGTCAAGATTTTAGTACTAGTTTTCATAAGAACTGAAATATAAAACTTCTTAGCAAAAGGTCTTGTCTGCCAGCAATCTTGAAAGGAATGGTAGGTAGGCTTCAGTTCCCCACTTGTTCTGAGTTCTTAAGGGATTCTGTGCTATTGAGTCATGGTTTATACCAGTCCTAACACAACAATTTGAAGATCTTTTTCTCATTTAAAATCCCTAGTAGATTGTAGTGAAGCTTTGCAGACAGATGTGTTTGTGCCTCTATTCATTTCAGTATGATTATAAATATCACTCTTGCTATGCAAGATGATGATAATAAAGATTAATGTAAATATGACTCATAAGCAACAGTGGTGGTTACTCTATCAGCATATGTAGTAATTTAAAGTGTTTGAAGTATAAATAGTTTTTGTTCTGAGATGGAGTTGGCTGATACTTTCTATCATAAGTGAGGAAACGTTTTTGGAGGTGACAATTTTGGAAAATACCTTTAGAAAAGGTTTCTTTTTAAAAGTAATTTGTTTTATTATTATGGTGTGTAAATGTGTGACGTATGTTGTGGAGTGAAGGTATGTGCATAGCACAGTGGACAACTGTGGAGTCGAGTCCCTACTTTCACATTGGACTCAGGGCCCGAGACTCTGGCTTCCCTGCAGCCATCCCACCTGCCAAGCCACCGTGCTGCCCATCCCTATCTCCCCTCCAGTGGTTAGCTTGACCAGCTCACAGTCACATAGCCTCCTGTTGAGTAATCAGCTCAAGAGGCTGCAAAGGATTTGGTTCTTGGAGTGACGTATTTAGCTAATCTTAAAAGATGTAGAAAATAATACATCTGATACATTATAATAGAAGACAAAGTGAAGCTTTTCATAATCATTACCTCTGATGGAAAGTTTTAGAAGACAAATTTAGGTTTTGCATATTGTTAATGATCTTAGATAAAAAAGCCAAAATATGTTATGTATACCGGATTTGGGAAAGAAGAGTTGAGTTGGTTTACATAAGGTGACAGAGCTGAACCACTGAGAAAGAATGGAGCTTGGATGACTGGGGGAAAACACAGGTGAGCACTGGGAAATCGAGCTGTATGTAGAATGTATTAAAACATGTCCTTATGGGATAATCAGGTTACTTTAATTTTTATACAGTACTATAAGTTTTAGTATAATACCTAAAATATAAAGATCCAGATTAATAAGGTACCTTTCAAAAATGCTTTTTGGTTCTTTAAAATATGTATTAAACTTTAATATGCACTCAGTTATGAGCCAGATTTTCATGAAGTTCTTATTCAGAGCAGTTTAAAAAGTAAAAAGGTATGAAAGAATTCCATGCATAGTTTATTGCCAAGTGCAAATAGATATTTGTTAAAATGAAAAATATGCCCATCAATTGCAAATGTTTCACATGTTCATTTTTTTGGTGTCCCAAGCTCTGTGTTGTTAAAATACTTAAATGGTAGCACAGTTGATATTTCTATTGCCAAAAACGTTGAGGAAATTTAGATTGGCTCTTTCACTTCTGCCTTACTCACCTCATAGCAGGAAACAAGCAGGTTCCTGCTCCTGAGCCTCACTTAGGCTGCTGTTACATTGCAGTGATGCTGGTGTTCTCCACCAGTTTCTGGTTTGGGTGCTTGGCTTTGAATCAGAGGCGTAGAGTACGCAGTAGATTACATGCCAGGAAATAGCTTATTGTTCTTTGAAAAAGTCTTGAATGCAATTTATGTAGCATTTGATCAATATTTATTATGCCCAGATATTTTTATTAAACACTTTGCGTATATATGGATAGACACACATTGGATGCCTTCGAGTCCTGAGACTTAAACCTGATACTGTAAAACCAGAAACCTGGAACGACAGATCACAGACTTTGAAGTACTTATATGGCACAGTCTCACAAGTTCTCCTGTGTTCTGCTTTCCCTTTGTTTGAGATTTTTCTTTCAGGGCTATAATATTTGTAAGTATTTTGCTTTCTTGGTTCCCTCTGGACATATATACATACACACACACACACACACACACACACACACACACACACACACACACACAGAGTATAGTCTTCTGAAAAAGCAAGTGATACCATTTTATATGTTTGGGGAAAGCATATTTCTCTTGGTCAGCATTATTTGGGGAAGGTAAAACCTTAATGGCATTGCAGTGTTCAGATTTTAACAACAGGCTTTTAGCTTTAGAACTAGTCTTTATAAGTAACTTAGAATGTAATTTTTTTTTATTTTTAATAATAAGCATTGATGGGGTACAACATGTGCTTTGCACCATAAAATGAGAATCAAACTGCCATGAAATTGCCTCACAGACTTTATTTGTAGTGTGAACACAAAATTGTTTCTTTAGCAATTTTTTTTTTTTCGAGACAGGGTTTCTCTGTGTAGCTTTGCGCCTTTCCTGGGACTCACTTGGTAGCCCAGGCTGGCTTCGAACTCACAGAGATCCACCTGCCTCTGCCTCCCGAGTGCTGGGATTAAAGGCGTGCGCCACCACCGCCCGGCTTCTTTAGCAATTTTAAAGTGTATAATACATTATTATTAACTGTTATCATATTATTTATCTAGTAGATAATTTTACTCTCACCTAGCTAAAATTTTTTTTTCTTAATAATTCCCCATTTCTCTCCCACCCCCACAGCCCTGGTAGAAAACTATTGTTTTCTGTTTCTGTGAGTTCACATTTTTAGATCTACATTAAAGAAGGTCATGTAACATTTGTTTTTCTGTACCTGGTTTTACTATTTGTATTATCCTCTGGGTTTATCTGTGTTACTGTAAATATTTTCTTATTTTTTTTAAGTCCGAGTAATAGTCCTTTATTATATATACTATATTTTCTTTATCCATTCATTTACATTGTCAGTCTCCTATCTGAGCTCTGGTAAATAAATGTTACAATGAACACAGAAGAATTATATCTCCAGTATAAAGTTAAAGTTATAATTTCCTTTGCATTAATGTGCTCGGAATGGATTGCTGGATCGAAAATGTACAATTTTAAAGGATGATTTCTGAATTATTGACTCCATTGGAGGACATGGACCGTAATATACACAATTGCTTATCCTCTCTTGATCTTTTTTAAATGAAAAATATCTAAAGCCATGTGCTCTCTTTTTTTACACAGAATCTAGTTTCAGAATATGTATGAGACGTCAATAGAAGGGAAAGGGGAAAGGAAAGAACAGGAGAGGAGGATGTACGTGAACAACGTGTGAAGACACCAAAATGAAATCTATCACTGTTCATTTATCAACTGCTAAATTTTTTCAGATGATAGAAAAAAAGCTGAAAATTTTTATCTTCAGTGATACAAATAATAAATCGCACAGTTTATTCATTGAAAGTGTACAGGTTTGAAGCTGGGCTTAGGAATGTACATCTCTCTGTACATGAGAGTCAAGAGTTTGAGGACAGTCTGGGTTACTTAACACTGTTTCAAAATAAAAACAGGAACAAAAATGTACAGTTCAGTAGCTTTTACTATATTTGTAGAGTTTTGAAATCATCGCTCAGTCAAATTGGAACACTGACCTCCTCCAAAACAAATGCTGTATTCCCTAGCTATTCCCTGTTTCTTTTTAGCTCTGGAACTAGTAGTCTGCTTCTGTCTATATAGACTCATTTATTTGAGAAACCTAGATAAATGGAATCACTTAATATTTGTTCCCTTATGACTAATTTTTCTTAGCTTAATATGTTCAAGGTTCATATAGTTTTGTTCCTTTCTGTGATACTTCATCATGAATAATGGCGTTGGTTTATCTACCTTTCCGCTGATGGGACACTGGACTTCGTTTTCTTGGATATACAGCTAAGCGGAAGGGCTGGGTCCCTTGGGGACTCTGTGTTTATTATTTTGAGGAACCGCTTAACTGCTTTTTCTGTGCTGCTCACAGAGGTAGCTCGAGGCTTGTCTTATGGAATGTAACTTGCTAAATTCAAGGAAACCATTAGTGTAGTACAGCGTAATGTGTGTTCTGGGATTGTCAGGCTCGATAAACTTATTCCTGAGGAAATAAGTCATTACCACAGAAGTAGAGATTTGTTTTGGTAGTTTGAGGCAGGAGCTCATGTAACCTAGACTAACCTTGAACTCCTGATTCTGAGTGCTGGGAATCGGAAAATGCACTGCCATACCTTGCTAGAAATATGTTTTCAAGTGGATATTTTAAATGTACTCGAGTTTTGTGTTCATAATTTGCTGTGCAGTGAATGCTAATAAGTTAAGCTTTTAAAAATTGATTTAATAATTAGAAAAAGGTAGGATTATGGGTTAACTTAAAAGTTAAATTTTATTTTAAAAAAGAGGCTGAAAAGATGAGCTAGTGATTAAGAGCACATTCTGTTCTTACAGAGGACCCAGGTTCAGTTTCCAGCACCCACATTGCAGCTCATAACAGTCTGAAACTCTTGTTCCAGGGTACCTGACAGGCTCCTGGCTTCTTCAGTCACCAAGCATTATGCGGTGCACATATACACATGCAGGCAAACACACACAAAATAAAAATATTTCAAAAAGCTATATAGGGCCGGGTGGTAGTGGCACACACCTTTAATCCCAGCATTTGGGAGGCAGAGGCAGGCGGATCTCTGTGAGTTCCAGGAAAGGTGCAAAGCTACACAGAGAAACCCTGTCTCGAAAAACAAAACAAAACCACAAAACTATATAGGAAATGTATCCTTTACTGCCAGGAAGTTGAAGGTGCAGAGAATATATGTAAACCGAATGTAATATTACTTAGGCATATCACTAGTGTTTGTATTGTGTTCTTCACTAGACACACACACACACATTTACATAAGTACAAGAACTTTTTAAAAAAGTAAAATTAGGATCACATCAGTTGGGACTTTTCAAGATTATTTTTACTATAATATCATTCAAGTACTTAGTAGATGTTAGCTACATGTATGCATTTTGTGAGCTTTAATCCTAGTAACTGAGATATATTCAATCATACCTCTGAATGGAGGAAGATTGGGAGTGAGGCGGCAGGGTTACAACCTTCAGATGTGCTTTTGACATCACTTCTTACAGACTTGGGTGACTGTGAGAGTCCGCGGTGTGAACAACTGATTTGATACTACCTTACTCCAAACAATTCTCCCTGAAGAAAAGTAAATATGCATCCAAAGAAGTGGTACCAAGTATTTGGAACAATGCTTTTGCTTTTATGTTTTTCAGATAAACCACATAATCCTATGGTAAATGCTGGAGCAATTGTTGTGACTTCACTAATAAAGGTAAAATGTTGACATTTCCTTTTAACCTAGTAAATTTTTAATAACTAAGGATAAATCTGTATTTTGGATTATTTATGTAGGACTATGATACATTCATTTTCTCTTGGAATTAAGAAAATAGTCTTGTTATATTGGGTTAGGATTTTTATTTATTCCCCTCCCAATGATGTCATTTCAAGGACAAAATGAAAAATACATGACTCACCATAAATCCCAACCATTAGTTAACCTCTAGATGTAGAGCTTTGGCACAAATTTAAGAATTTTGCAGATCAGTGGGAGTTGAGGTGTTTCTTTTTAAAGTTTTTAATATTTTTTTCTCTTTGCTTCTAGAAAGAACGAGCTTTTTTCTAGAAAGAAGAATTTTTATATAATATTTTTATTAGTAAATATAGGAACAAATGTTCTAATTTGTGTTTAAGACGAAATATATTTATTATATTAAAAACAGTAAATTGTTTTTATCCTCATAAGCTGCTATCACAATTCTCATTTAAATTTGTTTCATTTATTTTACTTATATCATGTCATAAGTAAAAAACGTAAGGCTTCTTCCAATTATTACATTACTTACATTTCTGTGTTGGCATTGTATGTTGACTAATTTATGTTAGTGTTTGTGTTGCCTTAATAATTGGAAGCTGATGTTTTGAAATAAGTATTTCAAAATGGTTCTGTTGTGTGATAGACTTTTATATCACACAATTTCAGATCCCCCCCCTTTCATTTTAAATTTCTACTTGTGTTAATTATTAAAATGAATTTTGTGCTTGGGACACTTATATGTTCCTCAGTAAATTTGTGCCTGTCTATTTCAGGTTAGAATAAAACATAACTCATGGACTTGTACATGGATTACTATAGATGGGGTACTCTGGATACAAACAGAATGCTGAAGGGTAAATTACAGGCTTAGCCCAGTTCACAAAAACTAATCTAATGCTATAGTAGAAGTCTTACATTAACTGTCAATGAGTTTTAAAGTAGAAAACTGCTATCTTAAAAATACATGCTTATTTTAGGGCAATGATTTATAAACATTGGCCCACTAGATTTTATAGCCAAATATCTTTTAATGTAACTAGTTTTAGTAAGTTTATGCTATCTAGTTATCCCAAGGTGAAAAATTATTGTAGAAAGGAGCAATCCAGCAATATACAAGCACAGCTCTGTATTTAGGTATCCTTAAGTATGAAATATACATAGATAAAGGGGCCTTTATCACCAGATCACTCATTAACAATTCAGAGTTGCACAAGCAACGAATTAGAACTAAGGGAAGTTAATCTACAATCTCTGTTAATGCTTAAGCTTTTAAAACATTAGGGTAGCTCTAAACCATTTTTGTCCAGATTCCATGACTTTACATATATTTTAGTGGGTTCACTGACCTTGTTGAAGATGGTTCATGGATTCAGTCTTAAAAACTACTGCAGTGGAGGGGCTGTTGGAGTTCAAGGTTCCTCAGTTACATAGTGACTTAGAGGTAGACTGGGGGGATTGAGATGAGACCTTGCCATAGGAAGTAAGACCCCGTCACAGAGTGGGGGTGCTCACATTGGAGAAAATCAACATGGCACACCAATAGATTTCTCTCTAGAGGGCGTATGTAACTGATTTACAAAACGCCTCCTTAACTGCATACAGTTAAAAATGCTTTTGTGTGATGATTATGAGCTCAGTCAAGTATACTGACATGCTGCATGTGGGAATTGCATGTCTGGTCATACCACACCATCATTTCATTAGTTTCACTTACCATGGTGAGTCATATGTCATGAACCACATTGATCCACATTAGTGTGAGCAATCAGGAACAGTAAAGAAACAGACAACATAAATGCAGTTCAGGGTCCAAAGTAAAGAAAAGTCATCTTGCATTTATGAATTTGATCAGTTTTAAATTTGTAAAATATAAATTTACCAGCAAAGTTGGCAGTTTATATTTAAACTCATTATTTTAGAGTCTTTGTTTTCGGACTATGTTTCACAAGTTTTTTTTTTTGTTTGTTTGTTTTTTTAAACTGATCACAATGTAAATCTTAAAAGGTAGAAGCTTGATACAGCTATAAAACTGCCCTGAACAAGAAGACATTCCTTAGGTTAAAGAAAGAATTTAGATCCGTTAGGTATCGGTATGCAGTCTTTATATGATTATTTATAAATTGGTAATGGTTTGAAGTTGAGTTAATAAAACCTAGCCAAACGGCCCAGTTGTCTTATAGGAAACGGACGCTGGATGGGTTGTATCATCAGTAGAATCTGGTATTCTATTATTTGTTAGAATTTACTGTGCCATATTTAATGTGGGCATTGCCGTTTCAATTAATGACATCTTTGACATAGCAGTTATGAAAGCAGAAATACTGTGTTATTTTAACTTGTACAGAAACTTCATCTAGTGTTTAAATGGGTGTAGGACTCATCATTGAGACACTCATTGGTTGCCCGCTCTCTGAATGCAAACAGGCTCCTTCCCAGGAGCTTGAACTCAAGTGTCTGAAGCAGGTCTCGTGCCATGGCTGCCAGATGCAACCTTGCTTTTAGCTCTTTACTTGACCTTAGGACTGTTTCGTTTTTCCATTCAAAGTTCAGGCTTTTTGTTATGGTGCCTTGCAACAAATCTCATGTTAGACCCCTCCAAAAAAAAGTAGAGTCTTTAGTAAGACTCTTTATTTCATAATTTTGTAGTATTGATATTTTTTCCTTGTAGGATTGGTGGTGATCCTCAGGAAATGGGGGAAGAGGCAGAGCAAATGTTCAAAAGGATTAGCAGATTGTGGAAAAAGGAGGATTTGGACAGAAGGAACCTGTTGCATTAATTCTTAACCACTAAGCTTATAGGAAAACTCCAATATTTAAAATTTTAAACAAAGCTATATAGGTAAATACCTTTTTAAAAACAAATGTAATTTTACACTTAAAATGCACATAATTAAAAAGACATAAGGGTTACTCTTACTCTCTTTTCTCCTCTAGTAGCTGCTAACTTGAAGGGATTACGTGATTACAGTCTGTTTAATCTCGTGATGATAATGTGTGATTGTGTGGTTGAAAGGAAAGAATATGAGGGACAGTTATGTTTAGATGAAAAGACAATATTTAATGTTTTTATTTTTCAGTAATAAAAATGACCTAGTTTTATCTTAAAAGATAAAGTCTGATGCCTTGAGTATTGGGGTAGAAACTGAGGGCAAGAAATTACAAAATGATTGTCACTATTGCATTTTCATTTTAGAAATATGATAAGCTATGTGATTTTCTATATATATGTCTTCTAGTGATCATTTCTAAGTTTTATTACTTGAAAAAGTTTGCTTGTGTGTGGGGTCCCCCCCCATTTTAGGAAGCAGTCATATTTTTTAAATAAAACATTGAAGATTGTAAAGTGTTGCTCTGTAAAAACTCAAGACAAGTTTAATTAATCTGTATGGTGTTTTCCACTTTTCACGTTAGCCATAATCTGGCAGATTCTCAGATGGCCTGTCACTTGTAGTAATAGTGCACGATGCCCTGGGCTCGGTACCTTTGGAACACCAGAGTTCAGTGGTTTATTTACTTGAGTTTACATTAGTAGACACGTTTGAGAAGTTTTTTTCCTTTTTCTTTTTCTTTTTAATGAAAGGCAGATTTTCATTTCCAACTGAGTTAATTGTTCTGTTCCTTTATTTTTAGAGATAATCTGTAATAATACTAGATCAGCAGGGCACAGTGGCACATGTCTTGATCCCAGTGCTCTGAAGCAGAGGCAGGTGGATCTCTGTAAGTTTGATGTCACTTGTGTGTATATCATAAGTTCTAGACCAGCCAGAGGTAATAGTAGGGCCCTGTCTCCAAAAAGCCCTAGAAGAATGTCATTTTTTTTCATTTTTAATACTAACTTGTAATTTAGTAATGTTTAGTTCCAGAAGATTCTTCTGTGGCCAGATGAAACCAAGACTTTTATAAAATCATTTCCATCACCTCTCTTTGCCTCTTTCTTCTGTGGTCTCTAATATTTAATTGGCTTGCATGTCTACTCATGACTATGTTTTATAATAATTGATTAGCTATTGTCTGTTTAATGAAACATTTTTTAGTGTTGCCAAGTATATTTGTTGTTGCAGAGTTATATGAATTCATTCACAAATATGTTGTAAAATCAGATTAAAAAATACTCCCAACATAGTTAGATTAATTCTTTGAATTTAGTTTTTGTGATGCTGGGTATCAAAAATTTGGTGTGGGTCTAGGTGAGCTTTGTACCTTGAGCTCCCTCCCTCCCTCCCGAGCACTTACATACATTGTTTTAATAGACAGAGGCAAAGCTCTATCACCTTTGTTAAATCCTCACCTACACTTTCCTTAAAGAGATGCATTCTGTAGTTTAACAGACACTTTTGTACAAGATACATTTTTATACTTGTCTAGCAGTAGTCTTTTCACTCTTCTCAAACAGACCACAGGTTTGCTTTTAAAAATCATTCAGTGAATAGATTAGAATTTTAAAATATATTTGTCCCAGTTTTAATTTCTTAGAAATTCTCCCAGTTATATTGACGACACAGCTCTGTGAGCATGTCCAGGATGAAAACAGCACAGTATGTCACAGTGCCTGTCCTGTGAGCTTCATTCTGGAACACGTGTGTCCCCGGTGCAGGGAGGACTGAGGACACGGAGCATCCACGTGTGCTTCCGATGTGCCCTTCTGAAAATAGTTTGATTTTGGTTTAGGTAGTTCCCATTTTCCAGAAGAAGGGCCATCTCTTGTGGTCCAGATTTTATTACAGTTCACTGCTCTGTGGTAAAAGTCTTGGTTGCTGATGAGACAACAGTTTAAAGTCCTGAAGCTGGTGGTATTGAGCCTGTAAATTAATGTAAAGCCTTTTAAGAATTGTTACTACCAATAACAGTACTCTAGGGTGTTTCCCTTTGTTTACTTTAGCAAAATTGAAATGAGGCTTAAGCGGGTTGAGCTTAAGTACAACATTGATTACATGTGATACGTTCCAGGTATGAAAGGACTAAATATTATTATTGTGAAAAAACCTTGTTCCATGTCAGTCTATTGATTATGAGAAAGGTTGTTTAATGTCTGTATAAACTGTAGTGTGAGAATTCTTACCATGTTCTGTCAGTAGAAACTATCAATTCGCATATGAACTAAAAGTCAGTTATGATTTTGAAGACCAAAGAAAATGCTCTAAAAGATAATAATACAAATTGGTGTGCAAGATGATTAGCAAATTGACATCTTCTTTCAAACATTTTACTGTGAAAGATTCAGTCGTGAACAGATAGAGTGACCAGCCCCATTTACTCATTCCCTGCTTCTGTTAATACAGTGTCTGTTCCTTCACCCACCTTAACTTACTTTGCCATAGCAAATTGATTTCTTTTTTTTTTCAAATTTTCTTTTTTTTTTGACAGAGCACATTTACTCAGTTTTGTATGTGTAAATATGTTTTTCTCCTAAGAATTTTGCACAAAGCTTTTTACTCAACATTTTAATATTACAATTAGGTCCCATCTATCCGATCTTTTCATCTGTTACATGAAAGAAAAATCTTTCTGTTACATTTCCAAGAGATATGGGGGCAACTAAAGATTTAAATTAAACACCATTTCCAGGGTAGATATAAGAACAAACATTAATCAAGTGTCTTTACAGTTAAAGGGGAAAGTGATACTCTTTAGTCCATGTGATTATTCAGTATTTTATTTTTCCCTACTTACAAAAATCTACATAGGGCATTTCAGATGCCTATTAAAACATTATTTAATAATAGAATCTGAATGCAATAAATAATACAAAAGCAAAATTCAATTTTTGTAAGCCGTAAAATAAACCACGTATGTGACCATGTCACATAGAGCAGAAATTTTTTTATATTAAACTTTATAATTCAATGAAGAAAACTTGTATTATTCACAGGGAACAGCTTAGGTCAGAGAATGAAAGTTCATGTAACTTGTTTATTTTATACTGATTAGTTGTGTAACCAGTGATTATCCATATGAAAACATAGTTGTGCTTTTTTTTTTTTTTTTTTGTGCTTTTTCTAAGGTTAAAAGGTTTTCGTGGCTTAAATGTTGTTACATATTTTACAGCATTAGGATCTATGGAATATTTTGACAACTGCAACAGTTCAATGAAGTTGGTAATTTCTTCTTTTAATTATTTTTCATTGAACAGCTTTGGAGTTACATGTCTACATTTTTAATTTTGGTATATTATAAGAAAGCTTTAAAAATGTCAGGATGCTTTAGAGAAAATATATAACCCCTTTTGTAACATAGGGGTTACACTCTAGCTGTCATTCAGTTATTTTTACATTACTTAAGTTCTGTTAATGTCTAATTTTGATGACATACTGTGGTGTTTCTTCCCGCTGCTGATTATGTATGTGTGGTTTTAGTTTATAAATAGCTTGATTTGTTGGGTTTCACATATTTATCAGTCATAACTTGAGTTCGCATAGGGAGAATGGACCTGCTTTTATTCAGTAGATGACACTCTGGAACAATCTCCCTGTAACAACATTCCAAATTATAATGCTTCGGAACTTTGAGGGTAGATTCTTACAAATTGCTTTTTAAAATGGTTGTCAGATTATTTTATTTGAGTCCTGCTTTAGAAATTAGAGATGTATTGTTTCTGTTGGGTGCATATCACCAATTAATACGTTTGATTTCAGATCTACAGCTTACTGCTTTGTAAACTTCGTCGAGGTAAAATGAAACCATTTGGCTACTTGCACTGATCTACATTACACAGGCGTTTTCCTAATAACATTTGTGGTAGATAACATGTCATAACTGGAAGTAATGAAACAATACATCTTCCACACTCCCAATTGGCCTAATGTTAACTATAATTGAAGTTAATTTTTTAGAACTAAAGTAAAAGTTTTTAGCTCAAATAGTGTTACAAGTGAGAGTTACTGGGGGGTAGAGCTGTGCCCATGCTAGTGTAATGTAGCCAGCATTTGCATATGTTAGAGTTAGGACTAGAAAAGATCAGTCAGTTTTGCAACAACTCAGTTTTCTAACTCAATACGGGTTTAAAGACTTTGCTTTTTAAAAATACATTGTTCTTAATTGAAAATCATTCTTTATATATTATTAATTATGTTTTAAGGGCAAGCTTTTAAAAGTTTTGAAACTGTGGAATTAACATTTTCGCAAACCATGTGCTGTTAGGAAAGATAAGGGGCTCTGGGGTGATTTGTATTCTGTAACTCTGAGATTAGTAAATGTATTCTTAAATGTATATTCCCTTTGTGATTCTGTATTTTTTTCATCATATGGGTGTTGACATGTACAAAAGTTTAAATATTAAGTTATTTTAGAAGGATTTCCTAGATGTAAAAGTACTGTGCAGTGCATTGAATACAGTGGTAGCAATTTGAAGTTTGTATTTTATTAGCTTTGTACTTAACCTCAGCCCTGTCTGTATTAACATACTTATCTTTCATTTCTTTACAGCAAGGAGTAAATAATGCTGAGAAGTTTGACTATGTAAGTACAACACAGAATCATGCTTTCATACTACATTCCTCAAGCATTTAATTTTGGTTACTAATACTCTTAATTTGGTTTGTAGGTGATGCAATTTTTGAATAAGATGGCTGGTAATGAATATGTTGGATTCAGTAATGCAACGTGAGTCTAATTTGTTACTTGGGCTTTTCTAGTTGGTCAGACTTCTTTTAATTCACCTAGTAATCAGACTGTAGAATTTTGTTTTCAGTACTGTTTTACTTCTTATATATAGACATATTCAAGCACATGCACGTACATACGTATGTGCACACAGTCTACTTAGGACCCTAGAATTTACTTCAGTGAATAGTTCATTACTTAGAATTTGGTCATCAAAGGAAATTAGTTGGGTCTGAATTACCTGAAAGAAACATTTAAAAGAAGCAGAAACTCACAGCCACACCTTAGGCAGACCCTGGAGAACCCTGTGAAAGAGGGGAGGATTATGGGAGATGGATGGGGTCAAGGACACCATTAGAAACCCACAGAATCAACTAACCCGGGCTCCTAGGGTCTTACAGAGACTGAACCGCCAACCAAGAGAGCTTGCATGGAACTGACCTCAGTCACACATGTGACAGCTGTGCATCTTGGTCCTCTTGTGGGGCTCCTAGCAGTGGGAGCAGGAGCTGTCTCTGACTCTGTTACCTGCTTTGGGACCCTTCCCTCCTCCTGGGTTGCCTCTTCCAGACTCACTAGGAGAGGAGGTGTCTTATCTCACTGCAACTTGATATGCCATGGCTGGCTGATCCATGGGAGGCCAGCCCTTTTGTGAAGAGAAAGGAGGAAAAGTGTATGTGTGGCGGGGGTGGGGGGGGGTGGTTCTTAGGGAAGGGACTGGGGTTCCAGGCAGCATGCACTGCCATACCTGGGTTTTCAGTTGGTTCTGGAAATCTGCTCTCCAATCTCTGTGCTTAGACGGCAGCACTTTACCAAATGAGCCATCTCCCTAGCCTGTTCTTTAGATAGGTAGATGATAGATAGATAGATTGACAGACAGACAGACTGCCTGTTTCTTTAGATAGATAAATACATAGATAGATACGTAGATGGATACATAGAAGTGTGTGTGTACACTTTTAAAGATGTGTATGTCTGTCTGAGTTAAGGTGCCTATGGTAGCTAGAAGAGGGCATCGGATCACCTGGAACTGGAGATAAGGCCCTGTGAGGCACCTAAGGAAGCCAAGCTCTGGTCCCTGTAAGAGTAGCAAATGCTCTTAGTCACTGTGCTGTCTCTCCAGCCCCCATTACCTACGTAACCACATTATTATTAATACATTCAAGAACAGAACATGAGTGATTTTCTTCAGCTCTCGTTCCAGTAGTCTACTGTATCTCAACCCTTTTTCTTTCCCTTTCCCCAACTGGTATCAGTTGTACTTTCAAAATACGATCTGACAAGGAAACTTGGTTAAAAGCCTTCCAGCTTGTGTTTTGTGTACATTTTTGATATTTAATACCCCTAAAAATGTGGTCCTTGGGGTTGGAGAGATGAGATGGCTCATGGGTAAGATCTATGACTACTCTTCCAAGGGACCTGGGTTCAATTTCCCAACACCCACATGGTGGCCGACAACCATCTGCAACTCTAGTTCCTGGGGACCTGATGCCCTCTAGCCTCCATGGAGACCGAGCACACAGCAGGCAGACACACACCATTGCAGAATATCTGACAGCCAGGCTGTGGTGCTCTGTGCCGTTAATCCCAGCTCTTGGGAGGCAGAGGCAGGCGGATCTCTTGAGTTCAAGAGCAGCCTGGTCTACAGAGCAAGGTCTAGAACAGCCAGGGCTGCACAGAGGAACCCTGTCTCCAACCCCTGCCACACACACACAGCTGTCCTGGGTTCTGGTAGTTGGGTGGTCCTCCATTCTTCTCCACGACCATTTCCCAGATGCATCAGGTGTCAGCCATGTTTCCCGCTTCTGTAGTTGTTCTGCCCCGTGGGGTTGGCCACTGTTGATCTGATGTGTCACAGCCCCTCACTTCCCTCAGCGCAGTCTGCTTTCGTGATTCCGTTGGACAGTTCGACAAGCCTTCCGTCGATTTTAGTTCCTTTGTTCATAGTATGTGGAGTTTAGAAAGGGTCTGAGCTCATGTCCTTTCCAACAGTAAGGAAAGAGTTACGCCCTGTTCTGTTGAGATAGAGACAAAATCAGCAGTCCTGACCAAGTGTCAGGTCACCCTCTTTATGCTGTGCTTTGCTACACCATTCAAGAACAATCATAAAGTTAACTAATTTTTTTTCTTTCAGGTTTCAGTCTGAACGAGAAAGTGGAGACCGAAATTTTGCAATAGGATATTACTTAAAAGAAAAGAAGGTTTTTAAATTTTTGTTTCTATTCAACGTTATTTTTGTTTACGGAAGTGACATCTAAGAACTCAACAATAGCCTTTAGTTATTTAAAGTGAAAAGTTTTACAAAGCACTCAAGTGTTAACAAATTACTAACATTAATATTAAATTGATTTTATGTGCCTGGTAGTATTAGAATTCTGACGATGTTGGTGTAAATTCTGGTTGAAGTTGCTCTTTTTTAAGTTCAGTGTCTGACTAGTGTCGATAAACTTTTTTTTCCTTTAAAGAACTTTAAGAGAATGGTTCAATAAGATGATAAATTACAAATTACTTAATCTTTGTCTCTTAAAATAGAATTTAGGAATTTATATAATATGTAACTTTTATTTATTTTACATTTATAGTGTTTATGGACCCCATACTGTTTTGATATGAAGGGAAACATTTTATACATCTTAAATTTAACACTGATGTGTTTTTTATGTGCTTTTTTTGTTTGTTTGCCTGAGTTTTCATTGCTTTTTTTTGAATTTGGATTTTGCTTTTTTTCAGTGTTTTCCAGAAGGCACAGACATGGTTGGGATACTAGATTTTTATTTCCAGGTAATTTTTGCTCATGATTGTATAATGTATCTTCATAAATAGATGTATCACATTTTACAAAATTCTTATGTCTTGGATACACTCTAGGCCATGAGAAAATAAATTTCCATTAGCTTTGAAAAGATGTCATGAAAGGCTCCTAAAAATCCACACATCAGAATGGAACAAGGAAAACAGTATAGAAATACATTTAGATGAAAATGGCAGTTCTAGAAACTGGTTTTTCCTACTCTGTTTTCTTAGTTTTTTTATTTTGCCTACAAACAACTTTGGTTTTCAGAGAGCTTCTATCAGCATTTTAAAATGTCATTCTTTTGTTCTGTCTGGCTATTTTCTCTGACTGTATCTTTTTGATCCTGATTTAATTGGTGCTGAGAATTTTTCAGCACGTGCCTTCAGTGTTACATAGTATTTGTGTTCCTCTAAGCTAAGAAGAGATCTTCATATTTGTGTTAGGTTGAGGAGCATCCCGCACACATAATTTCCTATGGTACAGATACCAGTTTAGTACAGCCTTCTTTGAAATTCGTTCCTTCCTCATGTATTTTACCTAATCAAGTTGTAATAGGAATATGCATAGACCACATTTTTAAATTTCTGGTTTACTTTGTTTTTGTCTTAGTAAAGCGCTTTGATTTTTAAGCTTCTAGTATCCTTACCAGATGATTATGGGAGGTTGGTAATGAAGTCTGATGGAAGTACAGGTCCTAGATGCCCTTTACTCAGTGTGAAAGCTGTATTGGGAATCTGGTCTATCCATATAAAATTCAATTCAATAATGACCTGTTTGGGTTCTGAGCCCTGTTTGGTTCCCCAGCAAGTACAGCACTGAACAGCACAAAATGTGTAGAACTCCTCGGAACCGTCTCTTGAAATCAGTGGCAGTTTTACTCTAGCCAATAAAACACTTCCTTAGTTTTGGCTGTTATAGTTTAAATCACACTACTTAACTACATTGTGAAATTTCGATTCTTTAGTACAGGAATCGAGACAGCCATAGAGGTGCTCTCTATTGAGAAGTGAATTTAAGTGAGCATCAAGCTATCAGGAAATGGTTCTTAAACTGGTATTTGTCCAGTTAGGAGACGATATCTTTATGACAGGCAAAATTTGATTAATTCTAAGTATGAACTAGGAAATGATTAAAGGAATTTAAATTTTGTTTTTCTAACATTTCCCTACTTAGGCAGTGATAATGGGAATCCCCTTCCTCTCTGTTTTGAGATGGGGTCTGGCTGGCCTGGAACTCACAGTGTAGACAAGGCTAGCCTCCAACTAACAGCTCACTGCTGAGATTAAAGGTGTCTACAAACATATACCTGGCTAAGTCTTCTTTTAGAAAGCATTTTCCTACTCTGCTGGGGGGGGGGGCAGTGTAACAACTGATGTAGTTAGAGAAGCCAGTCTTATCCCCTTTCCTCCTGTTTTGGTTGCTGGTAACTGAAAATAAAATGTAGAGGAATATTACTGTAGGTTTATGGATAAATTTGGGTTTGTGAGGTAAAGTGTTAATGCTGTTGATGTCATGTTTCAGTGCTGGAATCAAACTCAGGGCTCGGTTAATATGGAAGGCGAGTGTTCTGCTGAGTACACCCTTGGCTTTCATTTCTGTTATTTTGATGGCATTGACATTCAAAAATTTCACTTTACCTAGGCTCTGTCCTTTTGTTTGTTGTGATATGTCTAGTGTCTACAGTAAATAGCAAATGACAACTGATAGGGGCTTTAAAAGGTAGCATTGTATAGGTTCATGGAGCACTCAGGCTGTCTAAACTGTTTTTCTGTTTGTCCTTGGTTTGTTGCTCTATAAATTAGAATGCTAAGCTCTGTTACAGGTGAAATGTTAAGTGTTTTATCATCAACCCCCCCCCCCAGGCGTGCATTTAGTGATCATTTTTCATGCTGATGAGGGTTACTTTATCTTAAAAGATATTATGGCTTATTTCTCTTATTACAATAATGTATGATGGATACAAAACATTAATATTGAAACAAGTTTGAATACTGTATAGAGCAGTAAAAAAGCTTAGTGTTTAGGGTGTTTGGCTCCTTTTCACCTAATTCAGTCACCAAAATACTGTAAATTTGGACAACTGTGAATAAATCTTAAAATGACTAGAACTTGGTCAGTTGAAATCTTAGAAATGTCATCAAGGTCAGAGTAAAATCATCCCTTTCGAAGCCATATTTCAGATTTGTAGGTGATATCAGATAAATAGGTTGTGATAGAAGGCAGGTGAGACAAAACACCACGAGCCTAGATTTTCCTAATTCAGCTTTGTTCTTTCTTGTAGCTGTGCTCCATTGAAGTGACGTGCGAGTCCGCCAGCGTGATGGCCGCCACACTGGCTAACGGTGGCTTCTGCCCAATCACGGGCGAGAGAGTCCTCAGTCCTGAGGCCGTTCGAAATACACTGAGTTTGATGCATTCCTGTGGCATGTATGACTTCTCGGGGCAGTTTGCCTTCCATGTAAGTAATGCTGATTAATTTTCTCTTGCAAGGAACTAGTCTAGACTGGTACTTTTAGAAATGCAATTTGAACTTTGCTTCTACAGCTGTTTTATTTTTGGAGAGAGGCTTGTTTTCAAGGTTAATTGGTTACAAATGAGTAAGGAGTACAGTTACATAGTATGCGAGATGTCCTTTAAGAATTCAGTCACTCTTCATGTAGAAAAGGTAACCACCACTCTTGTTCTGAAAGAATTTCATGATACAAGGTTAGTAGCTGTGGTTTTCATTGCTGATGCTTGGCATTGTGATAGATCGTACCTTAAGAAGTCCTTAAATTCAGAAAATGCACACACGAGGCCTGAGTCTTTGATTAAAAGTAAAGTATATACTAATAAAACTTGAAAAAAATTTTTTTTCCAAGACTAGTTTCTCTGTGTTTAAAAATGTTCTTTAATCTTTGTGTATTTGGCACTTGTGAAATATGAAGGTATTTGATCTTATTATGTTGATTCATCATAATGCCCTTCCAAAAATTGTTTTTGTAACTTCTTTTTATTTATTTATATAAAGAAATTTGTCTTTTTCATATATTTGTGTGTGTGTTGTGGTTCCAAGGATTGAACTCGGGCCATTGTACATAGTATTGTCTAGCTCCTTTACCATACTGAGCCATTTTGCAGACCCTGCAGTTTTTATATGTAGTACAATAGAGAAATGGATTTCATATTATTCATCATTCACCTTTGTTAATTATGAATACATAACCAATCTTGTTTCATCTGTGTGCATACTTGCTTTTTTTAATCTTGGTATACTCCAGTATCTAATTGTAAATACATAACACAGCATTGTAGTACCACAAAAACTTAACTATTGCATATAAAACTGTTAATGTTATCATTTAACATTACCACTAAATTTAATAGAAAAATACTTAATCACGTCATTGAAATGACTTGTAAAGTACTGTAAATTGTGGTTGTGTAGTTCTACATTTTGTTTTCCTTGGAAAGTAAATAAGGCTCAATGTTTTTGGGTGTTTTTCTTTTTTCTTTTCACGATCTCTTTTTAACTTGTTTTTAATTGAAACCATTGAGTCATTTATTTCTGTATATTTTCTCAGAACTCTGTACTTGTTCTGTATTCCCTTGTATTTCTTATAACTTGGCAGGTCTGATCTGATGGTTTCGTTTGCTTGTTTTGTTTAGTTTTTGTGAGATTGCTGCAGTGGTACATTTCTGTCAAGCACTTGATATCGGAATCCTAGTAATTTACTAAGGACGGTTTCTCTGGCATTGCTAATTTTTATTATAATTATTCCACCATTATACAGTGATAACCATTTTGCATGTTTTTTGAAGGATATTAATTTGTATTAACATTTCTCTATTCCTTGCTTATTTTTCTGACTACTTCAGAAAATCTTAAGATGTAATTCCTGTTTTTATTCATGAAATTTTTTTAGAAAAGACTATTATATTTAGAATCAGTATGCTTCTTTAGGATTACAGCTCTGTAAAATAACATTCATAGCTCCAGAGTTCATATTCAAGTGCATTAAGTTACAAAATGTCTTTGAATTTTTTTCCTGTATTCTACTGTATCCAATCACTTTTGAACCTCATTTTCTGTATTATGAATATATTGACACATATCTATACAGTAGTTTTAATGGAGAATTTACCTTACCCTGTGGAGGTCTGAGGAAAACCTGGGGGTGTCAGTCCTTTTCTCCTTCCACGTAGACCTCAGGGATTGAACTCAGGTTGTCAAGGTTGGCCTTACATTAATTACAATGTGCCCTAATTGTGAAACTGTTCTCAAACATAATGTTTTTAGTTATTAAAATATTTATATGAATGCCCCCTTTATTAATTATTTTCAGGTTGGTCTACCTGCCAAATCTGGAGTTGCTGGGGGTATTCTTTTAGTTGTCCCCAACGTCATGGGCATGATGTGCTGGTCTCCTCCTCTTGACAAGATGGGCAACAGTGTTAAGGGAATTCACTTCTGTCACGTAAGCAAGTTTTCTTAGTTAAAAAGGGTTTGGGGGGGGGGGGCATACAAGCCGCTGTCCAGTGTCAAGGAATTTCCCCTTCCACCTGTTTTGTGTAGGGTTTTTATCCCCTTGGTACTTTTCCTATCTGTTAACTAGTTGACTAGGTTGTGTTGGAGGTGGTTGAACAGAAGCTTCAAATTGCCTCTAAAAACAGGTCCCATTTAATTTTCTTTCAGAAAATTCTCTTTATTTTATGTTTATTAAAAATTGTATGTGTATAGGTGTTTTGCCTACGTGTATATGTTCTGTAATTGGTGTCCTTGGAGGCTAGAAGAAGGTGTCTTATCCTGCAACTGAAGTTACAGATAGTTGTGAGCTGCCATGTGGGTGCTGGGAATCAAACCTGGGTTCTCTGGAAGAGCAGCCAGTGCTCTTAACTGCTGAGTGTTTTAATTTCCCAGATTATAATTTACTTTAAGTTTTTAAGAGCTCAGCAATAGAGAATTAAAACTCGAATCTCTTTTAATAATTGAGTTATCAAAGCAACTTATACTGCAAATAAAAACAAAGACAAGTTTTTAAAATTATGTGCTTTTGTTTTTAGTTTAGTGGTTTGTTACCAACTAATTCTTGCTGATGTTTCAGCTTTGTGTTTATTTTCATTTATTACTTCCCAGAGCCACTGTTGAGTGCTCACATTTGTGGGCTTCCCAATTAAAATTCAGATTACTGTTCAAACTTACACATTTTACAAATCTAGAGAATGGTATTGTATTTTGGATAAGTGATTTTTAAGAGATAAATTTTATGGTATATTTATAGTTTATGGTATTTTACATAAGTTGCCCTTCATGTTACCTATTAAATGGCAGTTTGAGTGACTGAGCCCTACTGTTGAGTTGTTACCCTGGGGTCTTTCCTCTTCCTGGCTGTTGGATTAGCTGGCGATGTGGTTGCTAGGAGACATCAGTGAGGCTGCATAGTAATGTTTACATGAAGGAACATAACCAGTGAAAAGCTGATTTCTTAAGTAGACTCTGTGTCACTCTTTACAGGATCTCGTTTCTCTGTGTAACTTCCATAACTATGATAATCTGAGACACTTTGCAAAAAAGCTTGATCCTCGGAGAGAAGGTGGTGATCAGAGGGTAAGCCAATCCTTTCTAGATTCTTCTCCATGGTTTTCTCTAAAACGGGGAAGTAGCCTCGCCTGCCTAGATCAAACTTCAGTTTGTTAGCAGTCTCATGTCTTTGCCAATTTCAAATAAATAAGATGTTGACATTTTTATTTTCAGGCACTAGGACATAGATATATTAAAATCATTTTTTTGATATTTAAACTGGAAATGGTTAACTTAGCAGCAGTGCCGGTTTCTGCTGCTTTATGTAATTGCTTTATAATTGATTACATTAAAATAAGATAGTGGAAGATTTTATGTACTATAAATCTAATTTTTAAAGCCTTTTACTCTTAATATTTGTCAGTTATTGTTTGGAATTAAGTTTTGCTCATTGTCTGCTTTGTGAATGGATAGGTAAACGGAAAGGTACATTTAAACTTCATAAGAAAAAGGCCACGGAAGACAAAACACTTTTTCCAGAACATGTTTCCTGATACAGTGTTGATAGAAGCAGTGAGAAAGCACTAGTACTTCCTGCTGAGCACCCTGAAGGTCTTGGTTGTTATCAGTTTGTGGCCTCATGCATAAGCATTTCTTTTTTAGAGCTACTATTAAAATCAGGACTGAATTTTCTTTTTCATTGGACCAAAGGACTTGCTGTTGAATTTTAATAACATTCCTTTGTATTCCACATGAAGAATAAAATTACCTAGTACATTAGAAAAGTGCTTAAAAGTAGTAATTTTAATACATACTGAGAGCATTTTTCTAAGTGCCAGCTTAAATGTATTAGTTCCGGTCAGAGTAACCTTTGATAATACCTGAGAACTTTGGAAAGCTGACAGTGTAGAACTTTCCTACCAATCAACATGAGGAACATGTAACAAGATGTCAGATGGTGGTGGGTGAATATATTGATGGCTCTTAATAACTTTCATTGAAAAATACCATTTTATAGCTTGGACCTTTCATCACTCAAGTGCACTAATAAATTGTGTATGTTGCTTGAACAACTAGCATTCCTTTGGACCACTGGACTATGAGAGTCTCCAGCAAGAACTTGCTTTAAAAGACACAGTGTGGAAAAAAGTGTCACCAGAGTCGAGTGAGGACACCTCTACAACTGTAGTGTATAGAATGGAGAGTCTGGGGGAGAGGAGCTAGAGACGGACGGGCTCTAGCTGCAGATGTTTCTTCTTTTAACCTTGGAAACAGCTTTAGGCCTTTCCCCCTCCAAACTAAGTATTTATTCGAGTTTTTCATTGCTATCAACCTTGGGTACTGGAGCCATAAAAACTTAAAAAAAAAATTTTTTTTTGCTTGTAATCTTTGTATAAAGAAATAAAAAGATTTGTTAATTTTTAGAAGAGCATTTACAAATAAAGCAAATTTGCTTTATTTTTTAGAACTACAAAAATGCAATTTCTTTAATTACATTAAAATTTTAACTATATAGTCAGATAACCGCATTGTCCTTAGTTCTATAACCTACATATTAAATTGAAAGTATTATTGGATTTGTTTTTCTTTTCCAGTTCTATGTCCTGTCCTATGCCTGATAGGATATTGGCAGTGACAATAAAGAGCACTTCATGCTAAGTAAAAAACTAATAAGGCAGAGGAATCCAAATGATTTCGTTTAAAAGAGCGGTAGGTTATGAAATTAGCTTTGGTTTACACATATGCCAGTTAGTGGTAGATTGGCTCCAAATTCTTAAATTCAGTTAAAATTTGTAAAATACTTTAAAATATATCTGGGTTTTTGTTTTGTTTTGCAACTCCTCTGTTCTGTCAGAACCACGATGTATTCGGAGTGTTTCACACTCACTGAACCCGTGCAGCCAAAGAATTGCAGATGTGTGAGAATGACCTGTTCTCTTGTTCAAAAGCTATCATGGTTAGTTGCTCAGAAAAAGAGACAGTGAATATCTTCAAAATGGATTGTATTTTCATATTATTCATGTAATTTTTTGTTGTATTTAAGTATGAATGGTAAATTTTGGGTTTTTTTTAGCTTTCAGTAATATGTTTCATAAGTGCTAATGATAAATTTTGTGATAAATTATGACATCTCATAAATTTTGTTCTTTTTGAACTTTCATTAGAGTACTTATGAAATGAATTTAGTCTGAAGGTATTAAGTATGCAACTAAAATATTTGTTAAATTGAATGCTTCTGTTTGTTTTAAAAATGCAATATTGAGAATCAAAACTTGTTTTCAAGAGAACCATAGGTTTCATTTAATCCAATTGAGAGCAATTATACGTATTATTTTTAAAATCGATCTTGGCAAAGTGATGCTAAAGTTCTGTATGATTTATTTACATTTCTTCCTTCATCCATGTATCTTGTTTTTCTCACAATTTCAAGTTTATTTTTTCAAACTCATTTTTAAACTTGCAAATTTTAGGCAAGTGGTTGAGAATAAAAGCCTTATAGCTTTTTAGAATTATGGCATATGTACAGTAGGGCAGACTCTGTCAAAGTAAATACAGTGCAGGAAAAAATACTTCACTGACACTAAGTAAGAAGGTATAGAAAATCCTGATGCTCTGTTTTGAGGTTGGAAGCTATGATATTAAGAATAGAAGTTTCTTCCCAGAAGTGCTACCTAAAAACCTTGAACTAATTTAAGTATTAAATTTTGTATTTAAATAATTACATGGTGAGTTTTAGAAAAGGCTTTTCTGTTGCTCCGGTGTTCAGATGCATTTCCTAACTGGATGCTTCATAAGTCTTGGCCACTGCTCCTCCTATGGACATTGAACATTTCTTTTAGTCACTGAACGCCTTAATTGGAAGAAAAGATTTTAGTTTTTTTCCTCTGTTCTTTATACTTAAAATTTGCTGTTTCAGTCAAAGTTGGCTCTACTTTATAAAATAACTACTTGACACAATTTTCATATGGTGTGCATATTTCTGTAAATTTCAAAATTAATTTGTGGCATTTCCTATATATAATTCTGGTAATGTTGGAATGCACACTTAAATATGAAGTGGAACAAGCAATCTGAAGTGTCTGTAGGAAGATGTTAGTGTAAGAAGAGGTAAGGTATTGTGAGTATGAGTGCAGACTTTGGCGGAAAAGGAAAGGAACGCTTTGCCAGTTTGCGGTGTAGCTCAACCCTCAGTATTCTCAATCTCTTTTCAAATAAAGTTCTTTGAGAAGTACCCAGTATTGTTGGGTTTAATTTTTCCAGCCGTTATTGATTCTTGATATTCAAGCATTTACATGATAGCGTATTTTTTCTTTTCTTTTCCTGTTTTTTTTTTTGCCATCATTAACATTTCATTTGAAATGCATATTCTTCCTAAAATATTTTGTTTTTAGCATAAATGTTGTGCATTTTATCTTAGTGTTTGGATGAAAACATTTGTGTTGTTGAGCTTTCTTCATTTGCTTTGTATATTTAATGTACCTTTATTTTCCAGTATGCCTACTTTTTGTATTGTACAATAAATTTATTTTAAGCTGATTTTATTGTTTTTTTTATATATATATATAAACACCCATGACATTTAAAATAACAAAAAACATTTGGGGTTTTAACTTAGAAAAAATTATCTCTTGTGAAGATATTGACTGTTCTGAAGATTGCCTAGAAAGGAAACTAAAAATACCAGAAAGTCATTTGAGTCTTTATTTTTAATGAAATAGAGTAGGGAGGAATTTTCTCTTTGGTTGTACTTGAATTATTTAAATAAAGACTTCTCTCTCTCTCTCACACACACTTCACTTTTAAAAAGACAAAAACACTTTTATTCTATTTGCAGGCTGCTTCTGCTTCTGATGAAGAATCCAACTAATTTAATTTGTTGTTTAAATAACGGGGAAAACCATTGCCAAACCAATCAAGTGTATCATAGTGTCTGCTTAGAATAAAGTTGTCGTCCTCAGTAGAATAGAACTTGTAGAGTGGGCTGGCTGTGATACAGAAGTCGGCCTTCAGGAGCTTTTGTTTATATTCACAATTTGCTTCAAAGTATCATCCAAATCACATATACTATGATTTGGTACATTCATTGTTGGTACATTTTTCTATTTGGCTAGATCTGCTGTTCACATTTTAGAAAGATTCCCTAAAAATATTTTTAAATTTTTGAAAAGGAAAGTACTCGTTTGCATTAATTAGCATTAATATGTGATGTTTTAAATTAACTTTCAGTACTAGTTAACAACTTTTGGTATGGTACATGTGATATGAGTAATAGTTTGTTTATTTAAGCTAAAGATACTTTTTTAGCCGGGCGGTGGTGGCGCACGCCTTTAATCCCAGCACTCGGGAGGCAGAGGCAGGCGGATCTTTGTGAGTTCGAGGCCAGCCTGGGCTACCAAGTGAGTTCCAGGAAAGGCGCAAAGCTACACAGAGAAACCCTGTCTCAAAAAAAAAAAAAACAAAAAAAAAAAAAAAAAAAGATACTTTTTTAACCCATTGAAAGCAAGATGAAAGGAGAATCTATTTGGATAGTGTAGTAGTTCGTAGGAACACATGCATGAGTAGAAAGAACTGCTGACCTAGAGTAAGTGCGTGCATCTCATAGGTTTACCTATTTAAATTACCAGTTCTGAAAATGACCAGCTGTTCTTTCTGTAGTCTTTTAGATATGATTTATTGGATCACTGTATTCCTACTCCAGGATTTGCCATAAAGAACTCAGATTAACAGACTCTGTTAGTGTTCACACTGACTATAAAGATTTGTGGTTTGTCTTGTTGCTCTTCCTAGTGTCTCCCAGTGCTGTCAGCCAAGGGAGTGAGGAACCGTGGTGGGGAAGTCCAGGGCCAGGACAGGAGTGTCTGAATGCCTGTGGGTTCCCTGACTTGAAGCACTTGCCAGCATTTATTATAAAGAAGGATTATTCAGTTTACAGTAAGCAATGCTACTACCAGCTTACAGTTAGTTCACTTTATAGATTGGTTTTATTTAGTTCACTGTAAATATTAGGAGCATTTGCTTTATCAGTAATAAATTAGTTTACTTACATGTGACTTCCCCCCCTTTCAGTTCTCCCCCACTTTCTGTTA